TTGGCGTACTTCCCAGCTGCAGGAGGATGAAGCACAGCATCACGGATCGTATGTCCCTCGAAATTCCATCTGATCGATGAATAAATCGCGCATCAGATATAGTGGAGGGGTCTGTAGAATTTCGTAAACATTTTCTTTTGCAACGTACATGACTCCGTGAATCTCTCATATCACCAGAAAAAGAAATCTGATTCTTATTAAATAGTCCATTATTTAATTAATCCACAAGCCAATGTTATATTAATTTAATTTTAATTTATATCTGCTTTTACATTTGAAATTCAAATTATAATTCCAACAGCTGATATTTGTTTACAATTTTTGTTTTTATTTCAATGCATTTCAGTATTATCCACATCGCCGGATAAATTTCGCGAAGAGATTGTTGGCAGAATCGCACAATTGCTAATTCACCTAAATTAAACGAATCGCTTATTTAAGAATTTTAGCGAAGACATGGAATTGTTCAGTGATTGTTTTAGCGATAGCCATTAGTGGAATCGGCCTGCTGTTCTTTCAGGTAATTCGCCAATGATAATTCAGTGATTGTGTGTAGGGTTAAAATTTGTACAAAATTTCCATCCTTACAACACATACCTGCAAATTTTGAGGAATTTTGCTCAAAAGTACCTCGAGCAAGAATACCTTTCAAGAATGGCAACGTCATTGTGAATTAAAATTCATTTTTTTGAACAAAATATTTAGATTTTGTGAGAGAAATTTCGTGCTCCAAAGCGTACAAAATTTATTGGACAAATGCTTTAAAAAAACTACTTAAAAAGTTTAAAAAAAACTTTTTAAAACTTTTTTTTAAAAAGTTTAAAAAAAACTTTTTAAATACTCAAAATAAAATTAACCTCAAGGTAAAAATACTTTATCACGAGTCATTGAAATCTGAAAACAATATGACAACACAAGTATATATTTTTTACTTAATTGTGAATAAAATATGAATTTTCATGCCTTTTAACACTAAAATAATAAAAAGAAAAAGTAACGTATTTGTTACGAACAATGACGACACGAAATACGAATAATTAGCGAAATCATTCGTTGACAGATACCTGGAAATTTCGTAGGTACTTCCAAAAATCGTTCACAATAGACTAATTTTTAATCTTGGCAACCATACGATTTGAGCTGCTTATTAGTTAAGCGAATTCAAAAAGGTTGGACTAAATAAGCCAGCAGTGTTGTTGTTTCATATCTTATTTTTAAAATAAGCATTTGTTCTTTTGAGATATGCTTACTAAAGAAAAAGCCTACACTTTGATAATTTTCTTAAGCTCAAGCATGAACCATACAAGAGTAGTAAACTTATATGACGAGAAGTGTATTAAGCCGAAATACTCGTATATTATAATAAACTCAGATATAATTTCAGAAGACTACTGATGACGAGATTTGGCAATACTGGAAACGGCTGTATGGTTAGCCAAATATTCAATTAATTAAAATAATATGAACAAAGAATTTTTGTTGTTTTAGTTCACTACGTTTCGAAACCTCTCTATTAAATACAATAGTTTTTATTAAGAAAAATAGTCACTACCGTTATATTGACCTTAAAATCAAAATTAATAAAAAACAAACATTTTAAGAAATTCTCACCTCTTGTTGATTTTTTGTTTACTTATATTTTGTTTCATGTCTCATATATCAAATTTTTTTTCCGAATTAAATTAAATGGGAATATACTATTAGCGTTATCAAGTATATTATAATATATTATTCTTCTTTGATTTATCAAACGTAAGCTATGCGGGGTTTACATTACTAACTTTAGTCAACAAACTTTGCTGAAGTTGTTTCAGTGTTTATATTATCGTTTCAGGTTTTCATTTCGACAATTGTTAGAAACTTTAATATATTGATGAGCAATCAATTGGAAACATGATCATGTAAACCTGCGTTGTTATTTATAAAAAAATATTAAAAAAAGTTTATTAAATTGAACAAAAATGCATATTACTTATAGAATTTTGAAAAGTCTGTCGATTGGTATATAAACATTAGATCTCTGATGCGTGGTTTTCAAATCATACGAAAAAAAAATTAGCAAATATTCCAAAAAGTTTATTTTTAGAAAATCTAGAAATGGTACTAATTTGTACGCAAATAATTCTAATACAGAATTAATTAAGGCATTAGTGTCTAAAGCATTTTTACTTAATAGTGTCTGTGACCACTTAGATGATTCATTGTAATAAGAGTCCCGCTTAATTTTGATAATAAGTTATTTAAATAATTTTATAAAAGTATATTATGAAGCCCAGCATGTCTTCCTGGCGGGGTGTATAATTTGAGAGAGTGCAATATTGAATTTATTATGACTTCTTCATTCAAATTCTCTGTGTATAGGCGGCATAATGTACAGCTGGCAATGCTTATAAGTCCATACGACATATTAAGTTTATGTGGCAAGTTTGCTATTTTATAATTTAGAAACTAAAGCTTAATAAGTATATGGGTTCAAATATAAGTACATTGTTAAAAAATCCAGTAGTAGATATGACTTCTCCAAAAGCGGATTTAGTGCAGCATGCAATTAAAAGCAATAAAGTAGTAATATTTTCAAAAACCTACTGTCCTTATTGTACGATGGCTAAAGAGGTTTGTGAATTCATAGTTGTACAATTAGTATAATTAAAAATCATTTACATTAGCAATTCGAAAAGCTCTCTGTAAGCCCTACCGTAATTGAACTAGATGAGCGTAACGATGCTGATGAAATTCAAAACATACTTGGGGAAATCACTGGAAGTCGAACAGTAAGTAATACCCATATGTTGATGTAGTAAAAAACTAAACTTATTCACGGGTGTCCAAATTAGAAGTTATGATTTTTGTTATATGCAAATTTAAATTGATATTTTCCTTCTAGCAGTTTGTATTTTAAAATCTATTATAATAAAAACCTTATCAGTATTTTATTTAAGATATGTCGAATATAGGTATTGAAAATTAACTTTAAATTTACGAAATATTCATTAAATTGAATTTTAGACTTTTGTTTAACAATAAATAGACATTAAGCATTGCGAGGGCGGTACAAAGCCGATCGAGAATGCATTTCATGTCAATATACATATCGCAGACCTTCAAAAGAGGCGCAACTTGAAATTCCTCAATTTTGAGTTAATGTATGGAGTTAATGTATGCTTATAGTTTATCTGTCTACCAACACGCAAAATTCCACTTTGCTTTAATTATTGCAAATTTTCGAAAAAAACATTATAAAACATATATTTCTTTTTTTTTGGGATGACACTATGCTGTTTAACATTTTTTGCGTTTTCTGAAAATTGACGAATTTCGAGTTGCGCCTCTTTTGAAAAGGGTGTCCGATATGTTTGACTACAAATCAAAGAGTGTCAATGTTAAAAAAAATGATGGTTAACATAAAAATATTTAGATTGGTTATGTACTTATTGGGAAAAAATATGCCTAAAATAGTTTTGTCTGAATTTGTTTACGAATGTTATATCCACTCATGAAACACAAAAAACTTCTGAAATACTTAACTCTATTTTCCACGTAACCAACCTGCAGATGGTTACGTGTTATGAAGAATAAATTAGGTTAAGACGTCGTTTATCTTCAATATGACACCAATTTTTATATTCGAAATTTGGCAATACATTTGCAAATATTTTATTATTTTCTTGTTTTGCAGGCGAATATTGTTTATTTCCAACATTTGTTATGTCCTGATTTACGATGTATATCTTACTAGTAGCCGTATGGTTTTTTTAGGTGAAGTCTTGGAAAAGCGCTGTTTATGACAATCCCAACCAAATTCTTTGTGACATTATTTTTTGTTTTTTTACTTTATTTATTTATTAAATAATATACTACGAATGCACCCGACCTAAAAGATCTATTGTAGGTCTAAAGGCTCAACTAAAACAATTCTAATTATTTATAAATATCGTAATTGCTGTGGGCTTCATTTCACATATTTGATTTGTGACTAAGATCCCGTTTCCAAGGTAGTCATGTCTACCTCTTGCCGACGCTGGACAGTTGCATTAAATATGTTCTGATGTTTACTTCTCCTCATGACGGAGTCGACAGGAATTATTTTTGTCGACTCTCACAAAACTTATTCTTTACTTATTTTTTTACTTGAGTTTCTCTCTCTCTATCATTAAGGATTAAAAACGACGGTATCTGCATATATAAACATATAAATAAGACGGGCAATAAACAAAACAGATATAGACGGTGGCGAAATAAACAACTGTTTCCACTAACAGGCCACACAAATGACCGAATTTTGGTAAAAATCAGAACTTTGTTCCTTTCGTGACATATATGATATTATGAGTAAATAAAATAAAAGTGAGGTGCAAAAAAATTTGAGCAATAAAAGTTTTATCCTTTCCGCGGAAATATTATTACTTAATATCAATAAAAAAAAAATCCTTCGTCTGCGCATCTATCTATTTGTCGTCACCTTTTCTGACTCTGCATAAAACCTCTTAAATAATAGATACATCAGAAATTAACTGAAAAAGTGTAGGGATTTGGCAGTGCCAGATAAAATTTATTTTGCTAATATTATACTGTTTTTCCTAATATCTTTGTATAAATATATTCTGTGGCTTATAACCACTTTTAATAACTTTGTTTTATAACTTTCTTGTAACCTATTTGAAAATGTATATAATGAAAATTTTTTTCCACTCAAAAGAGAAGTTATTAACACGAAAGACACCATAAATATAAGTAAAAAAACATAATTTTACTTAATAAAAATTAAATTCTTATATTCAAACAATTTTTTTTAGGTTCCCCGTTGTTTCATTGACGGCAAATTTATTGGTGGTGGAACGGACGTTAAGAAAATGTATGAAAAAGGATCACTACAAAAATATTTTTCTTAAAACGATAAAAATATTTACAATGTTATAGTTATTTGTCTTTCCATATATATTTTTTATTAAATTGTTTAAATAAATTAAATATCGTTTCAATTTTTGTTCTACGCCTCACTTGATTTTTGGATATTTTTTAATCATCACAATTCAGAATGTTTAATGGAACCTGATTCACTACCATCACCTGAAGTTGAAATGCGAGATTTTTCACCTTGCATATAATTTTCATGTTCAGCTATATTCTCGTGATCTTCTACTTGAGCCATAAGCTTTTTAATTTCAGTATCGTACGTCTTCCACTCAGGAACTATGCGTTGGGCAGCAGTAAGTTTAGCTTCTTTTGTTTGTGGATTATTGCAAAGATCGATTACTTTTGCATTTTTTAAGGAGCTATCACTACACCAGGTTTGACACCAAAGCCAGTCATTTGAAAGTGATTTGATAGCAACTTGATGGATCATATTATTTGGCAAATCTTGATCCAGATTTGACAAACTATTGGGATCTTGACTCAAGGCTTGGTACTGTCCACGTAGTCGATCACCAGCAGCTATCCTCCGAAAGCGTTTCAGATCAACAACATAAAGTGCTGAAATATGGTATTTCCTTCCCATTAGATGACTTCGCCAATAACCTTGTTTCCAGAATCTGAAACCTTCCATTTCTTTACGAGAATCACAAAATGGTGTGTATGCATATGGTGCTCCACCTAAATCCATGTCAAATAATTCTTTTATATCTGCTCGTACAATTGCGTCGGCATCAACAAATATAATTTTGCGTACATTAAGTGGAAATAATACGTCTAAGAATAAAATCTTATAACCCCATATAGTTCTCTGCTTCTCGGTCTGCTGATGTAACCAACGAGGCCATTTATATTGAACCAATTCGTAATGGAATCCATATTCTTTCGCCATGTGTGGTAAAAAATCAGTAAATTGAGGGGATAGGTAATTTTTTAAAAACCAAAATTTAACGGGTGATTTCGTGTGTTTTAGTAGAGAAATCATCATAATACGCAGAAGTCGTTCATATAAATGTCCTGAAGCAACCGAGAAGATATTGATTGTTTCATCTTCAGGTACATTGGTAACTGAACCTCCGAATGAATTTGCTATAGAATTCCATATTCCTGTTTGATATTGATCATCCTCATCACCAAGCAAATCCATACTTTGCTTACCTGTTTTTTTAGCAACACGAATTTTAATTACGTGGGAACGTAACGAACTTATAACAATTTTAATAGATTGGTTGCTATACAATGTATTTAGTCCTTCTGCATGTGTAATATCATATATGTCAGCAGATTTACCGTCTCGTAGCCGAAGTTCCCAAATGCCTGGATTAGCTTTTAATTGAAAATAACCCAGATTTGCCATGACGATGGTGTCAACCACGCCTGGACTATTTTTTGTACCAAGAACAATTTGTAGTCCTCGTGGTGGCGCACCACTGATAGCATCAAAGCAGTGGCCTTCTAACAAAAGATATTCCAACTCAAATTCACTATGAACAGGACCACCAATTTCATTTAGTTTTATGTTGTCCAAATCATAGACAGAACGCACAGATTCCACAAGCCAATTTTCAGGTACTTGCAAATTTTGCGTTAATAATGAGTTAACAGGTAATCCTGTAAACTTAGCAATAGGTCCATCAGATATCCTACCATGTGGT